ACAAATGAGGAGAATCGTGCTTGCCCATCTATGTGATGGAGAATACAATGCAAGAATTGCTTGGAGAAGCGAGGAACATGGGTTGTTACAAGAACATTGGGGAAGCAAGTCAAGGACCAAGTGTACTACCCCATCAGGTGGTTCGATTCGATTCCTATGAGCTATACCGTTGAATGTTCGCTAACGATAACTTTGTATGCAGATACCGCCGTTATATTCTACCAAGGCTTATAACATTGATTTTAATACTTCTTAATTTCAGTTTTTTTTTTAGAAGGCCACCGCTCAGTTATAGGCTGATAGCCGGAAAATATTAGGGACCAAATTGGATGGTTGTGACCCATTGTGCCCAAGTGGTCCTACTCAGCCCAGCCAATAGTGCTACCTTAGATTGATTGATTGATTGATTGGATAATCATTATAATACTTTAAATATGATTATATATATAGCTTTTGCTTTAAACAATCATGCATCATTTGAAAATCCCAATATGTAACCTTTTGGTCCACTCATGTTGCATCTCTATCCATGCCTATTCACTTTTTCACCTTTCTATCGAGTCGGACCATACGGTGCAACCAACATGGCACTCGTGATATGAATGCCATGCTAAGTACCAAGTTCAAGTTGAACTTATCTCATTATATGCACAAGAATAATATGAAGATGAATAGCATTGCGGAAACGTGTTGCTTCAACGGAAAACGGAAAATTTAGGTGTCGCATTTATGTTGACTCACGAAAAATACAGAATAAATTGAAGAAATGGAAAAAATCTCAAATTTTATCTATCTCAGCTCAGTCAATACTACCAACTTTTCAATTGGTTGTTTGGATATACCCGACGCTTATTTCAAAATTCAAACGTACCTTTGGTCCACTCTTGTTGCATCCCTATGGACCCTATCCATGTCTCCTCATTTTCACACCTTTGGATTGTAAAGATATCTAGTCCTATTCGGTCCTCATTTTTCAAACTTATTTTTTTCTCAATATGTAGGCTTTAGTAAATATGTGAATAAAAAGTATGTTTGACAAATTTACATTATAATTTAAACTTCGTCAAACATTAAACAATATATTTTTTTAACTAATTGTAAAGAAAGTTAAAATAGAACCTAATGCTACCAAAAATCGTACGAAGAAGGTACCCGACCTTGAAATGTGTGGACTTGAGCTAAGATCACGAACAGAACTTCTGATAACCTGCAATAAAGGCACGGGGCGTTGACCTATTTGCTCCTCCAATGCTTAAGTTAGTTGACTAAGAGAAAATATACATAAAGATATAAACAAAAAATGTAAAGCGTACCTCAATAATGAACACATCTTATGTATTTATAATAATTTTTGATGTAATCATATGACAATTAGGATATTAGCAATCTCGGATTTCTCCGCTTGTACAGAAGCAGAGCCGCCAGAATTTCACCAGGTGCTGATGTGGCAGCATCGGTTGGTCTGCATTTTTTTTTTTTTTGGCCATTATCGAATAAAAAACTGTCAAGTGTATTTTGGCAAAATTCTGGTAGCATTTTTCTACACACAGTAGGGCTATAGAAACCTCTTGTGATCTGATAGCTAAAGACCCCTTATAAGCTTGGGACTCTTAACCCATATTTGACAAAAAAATTTTGAGATTATTAAGTTGGTCAAACTTATTTTTAATCACATATTTCATTGGACTCGCAATTTTTATCAACTTGTTATCATACATTTAACGAGACCAACTAACTATAATCTCAAAAAGCTCAAACAAGGGCTTAATGTGGTATGACACGAATTTTAAGGAGACTGATATAATGGAGTTGTAGGTCTCATGAGTTAGAGTTTTAATAAGATTTAGAAAGACGAACCAAAGGGGCTGTTCATGACCAATCAAGTACAAAGTTGGGGTCCCCTCGCATATGACCTCGTTGGTGGCTATGTCTATAGAGGTTGGGGTACTTTGGCACTAGGGATGAGGTCGAGGACAATGCAACGTTTAAGAAGATATGTTAAGCTACGAGGTCAAGCACACATAGTGAGGTCGAGGTCATGCTCAAGCTGACCCGTAGGTCGATTAGGAGGCACCTTGAGCTAGAGAAGTCAAACCTATATAGTTCTTACAGGAGATTTGCAGGGAGACCTTAGGATCAAGGTCCTTGGATCGTGGTTGACCTAGGATATTGAAAGTGAATAGTACGAACCAATGATGAAACATGATCTATATTGAGATACCATCATACGCATTGAGTCGAGGGGGTAGTATCGATGTCATGGTACCGACAATGCTTAGTTTTAATTTGTCTTTATCCTTTTTTTGGTACGAGGGCAAATATTTCCTTTTTTTTTTTCTCATTTTAACAAAATCGTCATTCAGAACAACTTATGTTAATTTGAAAATAAGTGCGCAATAAAAATTAAGTCGGAGATTAAATATTATAATGAGTAAGGTTTAGAAACCTGTCATGCAATTAAAGTGTACAATTATTATAAATGTGTTGTGAATATATTTAACTCGGACCAAACAGCTGTTAATAATTTGATCACAGTGTCCTTTTCGTCATTTGATGGGTCACTTTATCATCGATTGCGTTTCCCAATCTGAAAATGACTGAACTCAATTAAATCAAACCGGGTCTCACGTGGCCCGTGAATCCGGACAAAGGAGTGGTCACACTCAAGTCTCAGTAATTAAGGCCTTGTTTGAAAATCATAATTCAGTGAAATGGAATTTTGAATAATGATTTTTTGAAGGAAGTGTAGTTAAAAAGTATAGAAGATTTTTGAATGACGAGCAAAATATTTTATTATGAGAATGTGTGGTTGACAATGGGTGTAAAAAAATGAATTTTCAAATAACGGTTGTAAAACAGGGACTAAATTTTAATGCCTAAAATGGCGCATCACAAATTTGAGAGATGTTGAAATGATTTTTTCAAAATCAATCTAAGGATTTATCTAATTATACAGAATCATTTGCCCACATTATTTATAGATGCAATGGTGGCAGCTGATGATTGGCTGCGAAAACTGTTTTTACAGGCCGACATGCAATGACAGAATATCATGTAGCATTCCATCAAAGCATATGTAAGTTTTTCTGTACATCCATCCAACCTTCTCAATCTAAACATCCATCCAACCAATAGTACAAAAGGTAAAAAGAAAAATCAACGTTTTACGTAAATCGATCCCTCTTAAACCGCTCCTAATTTTATGACTTTTTTACTCGTAAGATCATGAGCCTCGCCTTATCCCTAGACGACTCCTTTAAACAATTGCATAGTTACAAAAGATCTGAAGAATCACCATAACTCAAAATGGACTACCAAATCAACCACTAATCGTACTAAACATGTCATAGAAGCACATGCTTGGCTAATGATTAATCACCACTAAACGTACCAAATCAATTGGTCCATGTTTGGCTAATGATATATTGTTTATAATCGCTCAAACTACTTTTTATTCACATTTCATAAAACCCACAAGTATTGCCCACTTCTATAGCAATTGTTCCTATAGGATCATAATTTAAATCGTTTATATACACTTGCCAAAAGTTCTTGCAACGACAATAATATTCTTGAAGATATTGCAGTGAAAGACATGCAAATGTTCACCTATTGATAAGAAACTTCGGGTTCAGAAATATTTGGGGGGTAAATAATTTTTAGAATAGTGATTGATGGGAGATGTGTGGTTGAAAAGTTTTTGATTTGTGTGTATTATTATTTTATTTGATGAATGTATGGTTGAGATGAAGAGAGAAAAAATTAATGTAATGGAATATGATATAATGAGGGGCAAACAAGGGCTAATTATACAGAATCATTTGCCCACATTATTTATAGATGCAATGGTGGCAGCTGATGATTGGCTGCGAAAACTGTTTTTACAGGCCGACATGCAATGACAGAATATCATGTAGCATTTTATCAAAGTATATGTAAGTTTTTCTGTACATACATACAAGCTTCTCAATCTAAACGTCCATCCAACCAATAGTACAAAAGGCAAAAAGAAAAATCAATGTTTTAGGTAAATCGATCCCTCTTCAACCGCTCCTAATTTTATGACTTTTTTACTCGTAAGATCACGAGCCTCGCCTTATCCCTAGACGACTCCTTTAAACAATTGCATAGTTACAAAAGATCTGAAGAATCACCAGAACTCAAAATGGACTACCAAATCAACCACTAATCGTACTAAACATGTCATAGAAGCACATGCTTGGCTAATGATTAATCACCACTAAACGTACCAAATCAATTGGTCCATGTTTGGCTAATGATATATTGTTTATATTTCTCAAACTACTTTTTATTCACATTTCATAAAACGTACAAGTATTGCCCACTTATATAGCAATTTTTCCTATCGGATCATAATTTAAATCGTTTATATACACTTGCCAGAAGTTCTTGCAACGACAATAATATTCTTGAAGATATTGCAGTGAAAGACATGCAAATGTTCACCTATGGATAAGAAACTTCGGGTTCAGAAATATTCCAGCAATTGAAAATATTAACATACTGTGCTTATTACAGAACCACTCTGCAAAGTATAAACAAATGCAAGACGAGGAATATGTAACAAAAAACATAGAATCGAGCACATGTAAATCACAACGCCAATATAACAAAACTAACAATGAACTTGCTTCATTAGTATAATCATGGATTTACTTCAACACACGTTTCATGTTTGTAAACTGCAGCAGTTCACGCTGCAGAAGGATCGAGTACAAATAGATTTTGTTAAATTAATAGTTCAAAGAGGAGTAGACATAATATACTTTCGTTCAGAAAACTATAAAGAAGATCACCAAACAAAAAATTATCCATCCTGAACAAAGTTTGCCTCGAATCCATGGCAAATACAAGTGAATATAAAAACAAAGGTTTCTTAGCAAGTATTCCTCTCTTGTAATTGTCATGTTACTTCTATTTCTTTTTCTGTTTATTCTCACTAATACAACCAAGAATCTATTCAATATCTACAGTCCCATTTAGATTTTGTGCCTTTCCTGGGGTATTAGAAACTCTTCATAATCATCGACAATGGCCTGTCAGGAATCCACCATCAACATTTGTGATGTATACATATAACTCAGGGTAAAAGGAAGATAGATGAGCAAATGGCTTACCTCGTATTTATTGCCACCGTACATGTACTCCACGTACAGCTGTTTGGGTTCTCCTGGGCAAGGATCACAGAAGCCCATAATTCCTGATTTTTTTACACCATCGTGCAGCTGCAGAAATGTAGAATATTATGAACAAACCCAATAAAAAGGAGCAACACACGCAAGCCAAGAGGATTGCCTGGCACGTGACTTTAGAAAGTACAGCAATTTGGTTACACTTGTATCGACTCCAGAATAATCTTATAAGGATACTTGCTGCTCCATTCCTTGGCTAATCTTGAGATTTCCTCATGAAGACCAACCCCGCATTTTTCCAAACAAAACCTTATTCAACATATAATCCATTAATTTGATTGTAGTCATTAGCTACATTTGCCCCTTAAATGATTAAACAAAGTTTTCTAGCCATTGTTCTGTTGACTCAGTATCAACATCTATCTTTTGCAATTGTCATATTCTCAATCCATTGTCACCATCTCCCATAATCTAAAACCTTTTCTTTTCATAAAGAGATACCACAATGTAATCTTGGAACATGTTATGTATGCAAAAAAAAGTGTGTTGGTAGGACTTTCATGTGGCAAGGGGTCAAAAAGACATCTATAGGTTTTCACGAAGACTAATTTTTATAAAATTAGAGATCACATAAACCATCTATGCAACATCAGAATATGATAGTTGAGAAAAACCATTTCAATCTACCATCATGTCTCTTCGATATTAAACCATTACATTTTGACATCAACAAAAAATTGAATGAAAACAAATGGAACCACATAAATAGATGCACACTTGTGTGTGAGAGAGAGAGAGAGAGAGAGTCTTAAAAAGGCTAGTCTAAGGCTTGGTTTCAGGCTCAACACATTGCAAGGTGGCATGGGCAGTGTAGTATGGTGTTTGTCCTGTGAGTTGTATGCTTCAGTTGGTGGGAATAACCTTGAGATGTGCATCTTTTCTCACAACAAGACCAAGGGCAATGCCACAAAGTGGAAACTCAACAAAGGGCTTTGAAATGCTAAACAAGAGAACAAAACTGAAGAATTGTTGAACCACTTGATCTAAAAGTTTAAACTGTTATATAGGACCGGCCACATGTATATTATTTAACTTTTGCCTTCAACACGCCCCCTCGAACGTAGACGGGCATTTTTCCCATCAAAGCCTAACACATTCACAATCTCATTTAATGGGTGACGTCGAGACCTCAACTTCGAACCCTTGCCATGTTGAACCACAAATTATGTCCAGGAATGCTAGATCCATACTTCCTATTTATGACTTTTATGTTGACTTCTGATCAGGTTATTTTGTGATAATATTTGTCCTGAGTCGGCAATATTCTATTTTCTGCAATTCCATACATATTTACTATTTTAGACATACGAAAGCAATAAAGTTGTCCCATATATTGCGCCTCAGGACATGTGGTTTATCTTGCAGAAGGCAAGGACACTGAACCTTTGCTTTTCACCTTTAAAAACACTGCATGCAACTAAGCATATGCATATTTCACATTTTCATAGTCAAATGGAACCAAAATAGGAACCAAATGTGGTCATGGATCAGTATTCACATGCAAAATATGTTCAAGAGGTCATATAAGAAACAAACCTTAAGTTGCCCAGATTCGTCAATGAGAAAGTTAAGAGGTAATGTGACATCTATGATTTGAGAAGCCACCTCATCGACTTTTTCTTCGGGTCTATTTCTAGACGTTAGAGCTTTGCGATGTCCATAAACTGCCTTTGTAACCACCAATCCACCCATCTCTTGTTGCTTGTTCCTCTTCCTATTGGCCACATTTTGTAATAGTTGTTGAGCTTTCTCGGCTGCAGCCCTAGCCTCTCGAACCTATGCAGAAGATATACAAGTCAAAAGAAGGGTCCATGGATCAAGTTGGGGGAGGAACGTATAGGTTTTGACATGGCTAAGATACAGAGAAGCAGTATAATTAACGAGGCAACAAAAATAGAAGAGTCTGACTGCCCCAGCAGCAGTTGGTGTTTTCAAACATTCTACCAACAACTAAAATTATCAAAACAAAATACAAGTTTAAACCAATTTGGGCCAGTTAATTGCCAAATTGCACGATGAAGCGCAATAAACAAAGAATAATGATATGTATCATTATAATAGAACATCGGTGATGTGGCAATCTATGTAGAATAATGAGATTTGACAGTTTAATTTTTATGAGAGGGAGGGAGGAGACTCAGAGAAATGTCAAGGATAATGGATTTTCACATCACCGATGTTCCATCATCATGATAAATAGTATTACTCATAAACAAATCAATGGTTTAGTAGCCTATAAAGGGATATTCTATAAGAACAGTAATTAACAATTGGACAAGATCATAAATCCATCTACTGGAGAAAAAATCAAACTGAGCCTTATTCTGAATACCCAAGGGAGGGAGAAAAAAAAAAGAGATTTTTACTTGCAAAGGCAAAAAGGCGGTTTACCTAAATCATTTAGTAACTAAATCAGAATAAAAACGTTTTGCCAGTTACACTGAGGATATGTGATGCTCAAAGCTGGTTGTGACATCAGATTAGGCATGACAATTTTGTAACACCACAGTTGCCAACTTGCCATTTTAACATGATAATGGATGTACCTTCATTCCATTTTCAGAATTAAAATATCATGTTGTTTCAAGCATAACTCAACTTAATATTATTCTAATCAAATGTTAGAGCAGCAGGATCGGTATTCAAATAGTAAAAAGAAAATGAAAGGAAAAAGGGGGAGAAAAATGATTCAGAAGCATAAAAAGTTATAGAATCTCAAAGTTGAAAAACACCTACCTCTTGACATGCAAAATTTTTTACTTTCATTAATACAACACAGATAATTAATACAGCCTCCACTGCATATACAGAGTAAATAAGTTGCAGCTAATTACCACTTAACATGCGAATTATTTTTACACAACACATCGATTTAATTGAATGTGTCCAGGGACTCGTATGTTCCACAGAAAATTGAAGCAACCTATATGGCACCATTCAGAGTATTGGCCTGATTGACTGTACTCTACTAATTCAATAAAATCATTTGGTTGATGCAATTGATCTTCATTGGGATCTCAGTCATTTCACAATCCACCAAAAAAAAGGCAATATGTGCTTCATGGTACAGAGTAATTGCAGTAAAACCAAGGGAGCTTATTTATAAAATATGCCTTGAGAAGAGTAAGGTTACAGAGAGCGAGGTTCCACGATCATGTCAGATGAAATCATCTACAATTAAGAAATGCACAAGACAACACACAAAAACAACCTAAATAGATATGTAATAGAGTACCTGGTCTTGAGTCTTCTCAAGATTTTCCAAAAACTTCTGCTTCTCCCGTCTAAGAAAATATGGTTTAAAAACAAATTTCTGCAAGTAAAGAAAAGAATGCAATATAACAATTGGATACTCGCAAGGTGAAACAAAATTACAAATTTAAAAGCCGTTTTTCATCAGCTGTGATCCATAATTGACCGTGCAGCAGGACACGACTGTCCAAAGCAGCCAGCATATTCAATTTATTGCCATTTGCCATCATGAGAAGTTTCATCCATTAGTAAGTAAAACATCAAAAGAATAATAATAATCAAAAAATTCCAATAATTTCAACATGTTATGAAATGTGTCCCTTTCATTCTGAAGCGTCTTGAGCATGTGCAAGTTATTTGCAACATAAATAATCAAAATTGTCTGCAGGCAAATTTGAAAAATGATAATATCAAATAAAAGCATTTACTTTGACATGCACCACAGTCTACCATTGTTCTTAAACATCTTGCTGAAGTCAAATTTTAGCTGATAAAACTCGAAGATATTGATTAAAAATTATACTCCATAAAATTTCAGACTAGAATCCAAACCTTGAGCGCAAAATAAAGTGATGTTGGAATGACGAGTGCTCCAGATGCAAATACCGGATTCAAGTGATTGGAGAGCAAAATCTGCAAGAAATAGCATATCAGTAATATATAAAACTTATGTTTTCTGTTATTAGGAGTACAAGATAAAACAACTCTAAGTTATATAATAAATAAAGAGAGAGAATACAATATATCTTCCCCAAAAGGTAATGGTACCCCCAATTGACGCATGTCAAGGTTCTATGTGTTAGCCAGAAAATTTTTTGTTACTTCAGATAATAGCAACATAATAATTGTCCACATTTATGTAAGCGTAGCCAGCCGTTGAATCTAAATATCATATTTCATCACTCATCAGATGATCAAAATGTTTCTATAATTTTCTACAAGCAAGGATGCGTCACCAAGGCAGCATCAAGGTAAGTAATTATGGCAGACAAATCGAGAAGACCAAAACTTTAAAAGAACTCCAAGACTGCTAAAAATATACACCGAAATTGGGCAGAGAACTGGTCGAGGTTAATGGAGTTTTGGGGGCAAGAGGGGAATTTAAACAAATCTTTGATTGACTGCGAATCTTCCCATTAGCTTTTTTTTAATCCGATTATACAAATTGCATAAAAAATAGATCTTTGTCTAACTGTTGCATTGTGCACATGAGTAGCTAACCTTGGTGGGGGCCTGGCTATGAAGCATCCGAGGCCTATGATGCTCGGACTCGGGTACAGTATCGGGTACGAGTACGTATCTAAATGTTTGATCTTTTATTTTCTAAAATATAAAATACGGGAACATGGCTAAAAAGAATCCAAATTTCGATATGTGAGCACATCTTTCAAACTTAATTTTTTTTACCAACCCAATATGTCATTTTAAATAGACTAAAATCAATTGTTCACAAAGAAGAAAATGAGTATTGAATAAGGGGTTACGACGAATAAAACAGAATTTTGAGATTTAGTTTTCAATTATGGGAAATTAATTACTAAATGTAATATAAAATAAAAAATGAGGGGCTTAATTGCAATTCGAACTTAGTGAAACACTAAGTAGCACCATATGAAATCCATTTTCATTTTATAAAAAGAATACAAAAAGGGAAAGGGGTTACTCAATTGGTCAGGCCTTAAGTTCGCTCCCCCAATGGTCACAATTTCGAGTCCTCTCAGGGCCACTGAGGAGAGTATCCGACCGTAAACTTCAGGATCCCATGGGATTAGTTGAGGTGCGCACAAGTTGGTCCGGACATCCACGGTTAGTATTTTTCCTTCTCCCTTTTCCTTCCGTGTAGGAAAAAAAATGAAAAATAAAAGAATCCGTAAAACATTTTAGGTTATAATGAAATATCCCAAAAATTAAGGTATGTAGTAAAGATTTAAAATTTGCAAGGACAAATGAACTAACAACTAGTCACCTAGAGGCACAAGCCTTACAAAAGGCACTTAAGGAGCAAGATTCGAGGCAATTTATGGAAACTTGACATTGAGGCAGGATTGAAGGCGTAAACCTCAAATTATTTTTTTAAACAATGATGATAGATCATCCTCAAAGGTTCCATTCAAGAAGTCTGGTGAGCAACTATCTTGATTAGAATTGAAGTCTTAGAGCTTATTACTTTGTTGAGGGTTCTTCTTAACCATTCTTCAGTGCAAAAGAGGCTGTGGTACTTTAATTCTTTTATGTCTTTCTCATATAAGTCTTATTTCATGCTTTGATTGACCCTAAAAGTCTCCCTTTTATCAGCCACACTC